GCTATAGGTCTCGATAGCCGGGCACCATCAGCCTTCTTCACCACACTTACTTATGCACACATTCGTCTTCAGAGTTTATGTGGGGTAGGTGGTCACACAATGATGGTTTTTGTTCTTTGGTGTCTGCTGCCTGGATCGACATAGTGGCTGCAACAAGGGGCTCAAACACTTTAACAACGGTGACAGGATGGTGGGGACTGGTTCGGTTTCCTTCTGTTGTACGGAAGGTTGCACTAAGTCTGAAACTACTTGAGGGCACTTAACAAGGGCAAAAGGGAGTCACACGGGGTTGCTGACAGTTAACCAGTCAACTAACATGGTCTGGCCGCCGTGAATCGGACTTGACTGAATAACAGCTTTTCTGGGTTTGATTAATATTCTGAGGATATGGAGCCCTGGTGGCACTGTGGTTGTGCATTGGACTGCGATCCAGAAGGTCCCCAGTTTGAAACCACCAGGCTCCTCACGAGGGAAGATCGGCCTTTCTACTCCCCTTAAGAGTTAGCTTCGGAAACGCTTATGGGCAGTTGTACCCCGTCCTATACAGGGTCGCCGTGAGTCAGAATGGACTCGACGGAAGTGCGTTTAGTTAAGAACTGGCAGCAAAGGGCTTCGGGATGGTTTCACAGACTTTGTAGCATGTGGAGAAATAGGTGTCTCAGGAACAACCCTAACATTCATTCCAGGGGTGGGGCGGGGAGCACTTGGCACCCCTAGATGGGTCTCTAGGAAGTACTTCAGTCGTGTTTCTGAGCTTCCACACAGGGCACAGCTGCTAAGCAAGTTTGCTATGGAGAAAATCTCTTCCCTGCATAAGTTAAATCCTTTCTGCTAAAATTTGAATGAGGAAAAAGGACAAGGATATAGTTTGAAAGTCTTAATACCATTTTGTTACAGAAGTCACCAACTATGAAAAAAAGAATTCCTCCGACACCAGTTTCAGAAACAATTTTGCCGGCAGCATCTCCCAGTTTATAATTTCGTGGTAGCAACAGAGTCACAAAAGCTAAAACAGAACTGAGATTTTAAAAAAGGAACAACCCCCCAAAATCAAACATCACCCTTTTGATGTTTAATGTCTTTTATGAAAGTAGTAGTCATCACATTAGAATTTTTACAGGCCCTCTGACTTGAAGAATAAAGTATCCTCACTTTCCCAGGTTTTCGTACATGTTCTACTGTCTCTGAGCTGCGTTGGGGCTCTTCTCATCGTCTCTCCAGTGTTGCCAGCCCCCAGCCTACGCTCTCAGGGCTGAATTCTTACCAGGAGTCTCTGGACACATCCAAAAGCAACATGCAGTTACATCATTCTGTGGAAGGAGGGAGGCGGGGAGGACTGCTATCTAAAAATAATAAAAGGTCCCATTTAAATTAGTAAGTTACCTTGACAAGTGTTCATTTTACTTTATAATAATGTAATTCTGACCCAAATAGAGCTCTTGTGAGCTTTTAAGAGATTGTAGCTCACACACGAAGGGCAGTAATTCAGATATTTTTCTTTCTTCCAAGGGCATTTAGAGATCAGTGTGATTGTAGTGCCAATACCCTATGGAAACAGTTTTATTTGGAAATTCTGATGAGATTTTCAAAACCGTTAAGCTCTTATTTACATTTATTGCAAGACACATAATATTTGTTCTTTTAAAGTATTCATCTTCTTGCTATTTATTCTTCACTTGATTTCATAGCCCTGTTTGGGTCACTATGATTAGTTGCTATGGAAATGACCTCCTATGCCACTATTCTAAGAATATGACTTTAAATGAATAATATCAATAGCAGACATCGAAACTTACTAGAAAAAGGAAATCTAATCAGGAAAGGGGGCAGGAATCCTGAAAATCATTACCATGGCCAACTTTTCTGAGATTTTTACGATGTGCCATCTGCTTTTAAAATAAGTATTAAATGAATTTGAAGGTGTTAATCAGCTATCTACTTCCTCAAATTCCAACGTCACAATGGAAATTAACACCACGCATAGAAAAGTGAATGTAAAGAGATGAAAATCTGTCAATTTCCTAAATTCAGAAATGTTCTGCTTCACTAGCAAGATTAATGTCAACAGGATTTTGGGGCTCATCAAGGAAACAACTTTGAAAAACATACTAAAAATTCTCTTTAAAGATGGAAGAATTTAATATTCCAAAATGTTTCTCAGGAATTTAAAAGGTCAAGCCTATAAACTAGCAAGTTGAACAATAGACGAGAGCCAGGGAACCGTTAGATGAGAATTCCAGAATGCTAAGAAGAAAATTTTCTTGGGTGGACTCTATAATTTGTGGCTTGAATAAAACTTTTGAAACATTCCGTTACTATTAAAATTCTCACCATGAGAATATGGCTCATATTTAACACATTTTAAATGCCTACAGAGTCTCTCCCTAAGAGAAATGTGAACACTTTCTTCTGCCGAGCTTGTTTATTGCCTGGAAGTATTTAAGAATAAATGAACAGGCCCAACAACTAGGATATTATCTCAAAACTGACACTCTGCTGGGGAAATCACTGATACATTTTCTATAACAGCTTGTTAATTATTGGTGTAAATCACTGTCACATTTACCTACATAATTTCATATCAGTATATCTATACTGACTCTGAATTAAAGCCTAGATTTTGCTAAATGTTTTATATATTAAGTGTTTCCTATACTCGTGCCCTGCAACCAGGATCTAGGATCCAAAATGTCTTTGATGGATTTCTGCCTTGGCGCTGGCAGTGGCTTGGCTTCGACACTGGTTTCAGGGTCTGTGTGCCCCACGGCAGCTACACCATGTTTCCTGGGAGGAGGGGGTTTCCCAGGAGCCGCCCTTGGTTTCTGCAGGTGAGGCACGAGGGTGGACAATCTGGCATCCGAAGGTGAGGTCCGAGGTGGATTCGTTTTCTCCATCCTGTCCTTGGCCAGTTGTTCGCTGTGGGGCTGCGTTTTTAAGCTAAACGGAGGCTGATCAGAAGGCGGTGGGGGAGCTCGCCTCTTTTTCCCTTTCCCATTCTGTGACTGATCACTCTGGGGAGACAACACCTTCTTCTGAACCACCAGGTGATGATGACCATCAAAGAGCGAGGCCCATCGAGGGGGTAAGGATTCTTCATGCTGACCAATAAGGAACTGCCCATTTGTTTCTTCAATTTTCTTTTGGATTATATCAGTTAAACTTTCAAGTTTCATTGGAGAATCAATGCCTACGAAAATTTAAGGAACAAACACAATGGGAAAATTCAAAAACAGCATACCTCAGTAAGTTATTTTTGAAACAAATATGCTAATATAATGGTCATCAAAATTTTAGACTAGTATAAGCAATTAAACGTTTACTTTAAAAAATAAACCTATCAGTAGAACCCCAAATTAGGGAGAGCCTGCTTGCTCCACCTACACACACACACACACACACACACACACACACACACAGTTCTTTGATTTGGTCTGTCTGCTTGTGCTCCTGGTCCCGGGAGCTCACTGGGCTGCTAACCACGAGGTCAACAGTTTGTAACCGTCAGTTGCACCAACGGAGAGAGATGAGGCTTCCTATCCCCCTCAGGAGCTAGTCTCAGCCGTTCAGAGAGACAGTCCCTCTTCTCCGTCACGTCGGGATGCGTCAGAACTGACTCCATGGCAGGGACTCGGTATAGATTCAGTATTTGTTAGGAAACTTTCCCTAGATTTTAAAACTTATTCTGACTTCCAGGCAAGCCGGACATAAAAACTAGGGCTACCAGTAATTGGATGAGTATTGTTCGTGTAAATCAGCAGTCTCTGTTAAAAGGTACCATTCCCTCAAAACAAAACAAAAACAACCAAAATCAAAACCCCAAGGAAATAAGCGTGAAACAAACAAAAACACACCAAAACAAACAAAAACACACACACACCATGAAAATATATAAAGTTCTGAGACCATGGAGATGATAGGGGTGTAAGTTGAAATTTTCCTTGGGAAAAACTATGACATCGGAGATGTATCTTTTTTTAAGCAAATCATTGGTATTTTTTTAATGTGTAAAAAAACCAAATTCATCATTTTTCACCTAACATTTTCAAGCCTATGTAACTACAGGTACCTGGGAGGCAAATTAGACTAGAATGTATCAGTGGCTTGTGCTTGTTCACAACACTGAGGCAATCCCACAAGGATAGGTAAATACCCTTCAACGTGTGAAACAATGTAATATTAATGAGTCTAGAAATTTTAAATTTCCTTACGTATTAAACTTAACCACTTTTATTTGGACAGAGATGAAAGCTTCCATTCGTTAATATTCATTTACCAAGTCTACTTAAAGAAACAAATGTAATAACATCCAGAAAAGTGAACATGACTATATTTTAGAATTTATAAGCTTATATTTTCTGAACTTTCATCAGCTCCTCAGCTAATATTTATTTCCACTGCACCTTTATTCACTGTGAAGCCTTAAAAAATGTGTTTGATCTTAAGCATTCAAACCATGAAAAATGTGTATTCATTAATTTTGTATTAATTCATCTATTAAACATGAATTCCTTAGTCTATAATCACAGTCTTTTTTCATTCATTTTGACTGTGCCCTGAAAATGTTAGCATTTTCATGTCATTAGAATAAGCTGCTTGAGTGTGGACAATGTTGTTTTTGTTACCCTGCAGCTTAGAAAGACAAACCCCACTTACTCATATCATGGTAGACTGAGGTCGCCTCTTTTGTTAAGAACAAAGGTGGTTTCCGTGGCGACAGAATCTCAATTTTCATAAGTTCTTCACAACAATGCTTCCATTGGCCTAGGAAACACAGAAAAAGCTGGCTAATTTAAAAAATAAATGTGAAGATAGATATTTTATTTTCAGTTGATGAGAAACATTTTTGGGGGGGGGGTAAGAAAAGTAACTGAATATATAAACTACTACTTTAGCAAATTAAACACAATCTAGTCCTACCTCTAATTTCAAAGTCCAAGACAAGGCATAAGGGTACTCTATTTAAAAAATAAAATTCTATGTACAAAAATTAAAGATCACCAGGCTATTAAATATCCTATATTACTAAACAGTCAATAATTACTTAAAATGTCAATTTATGGTAAGGGTTTCTAGAAGTTCTTTTCTTTCTTTCTTTTTTTAAGTTAAGATAACATCTAGTGTCTAAGAGCTGAAAGATAAAAATCCCCTAAAATAAAATCACATATAAAAGAAGTAGAAAAAAAATGAACGGTGGCTTTTAAAAATGGCTTTAACTATAAAAATTTTAAGAAATATTGCTTATTTAACAATGACTGTCTTTAGGATGGGCATCAAACTTTTTTTTCATAATTACCTAATTCTAGAAAAATACTGTATTATCACTTACAGGTAGGTTTTCTAGAAAAGTCTACCACTATTGATACAATTCTGAGTCTAATTTATTTTAGGAAGGCTATTTTAAAGCCATTACAAATTTAAAATAAGAAAAAAATTCTCTTAAATAATTAATTTCAAATAGTAATTTAAATAAACATGAGAAATATTAATTTTCTTTTAAATTTACTGCTTTCATTTTAAAACAAAACTTTTAGATATTTTTCTCCTGATTGGATGCCCCAAATTTTAATCTTTCACACTTATTGTGGCCCTGCATGAGAGAAAGCCACTATAGTAGCTACTTCTATCTATAGATTACATAGCACAAAAGTCGGTTATTGAGGTTCCCCATTCTTATATCTCATTTACACTAGTAGAATAGTAAATGTAATACATGTGTGCCTTTATAGATTGATTTATCACCTATGACTTTATTATGTTCTCAATCTTCATATTTAATATTCAACGTAATGAGGTTTCCCCGGCTAAAAATGAGATATTTCATTTTTCTTTAAATGATCGATCCATTTGGGTTGTTTTTGGTCTACCAATGAGTAACATATGTATGAATGTAAAATTCAGCACCTTAAACAACAACTAACAAAGAATAGACAAACATTCCTTCCAGTGTGTTTTGTTACAATGCTAAATATGGACTATACATTTATTTATTTATAAGTAAAAATTTCAAAAAACCCATGCAGCAACTCATAAAGGGAATAAAACCTTCAATACAAGTCTTCAAATGCTGCTCTCCAGAATTAAAATCTAGGAGAATCTGAAACCGGATCTTACTCCTCCCCTACACTTCCTGTTAAAGATAAATATGTAAGAGCTAGATTTTGCTTCTTGGAAACATAAAGCAACCTTTATCTAGTGGGAAAATAATAAAATATTTAAGAATAACAAACATCTCTCTGTCACATTCTTAGACAAATTATTAAGTATGGTATTTTCTCTGCATTGATAGATGAAAGCTTTTCATTGTTAAACTGGTAGCAGAATACTAATCATGTTGAAAATTGGGATATAATGCCACATTATCCTGTGTGCTACTGAAGTCAGAGGTGCAAACGAAGCATGTTCTCTGGTAAAAGCTGTACAATGGAAACATTTACTTTTGCCACTGAATAAATTAGTATGCATAGTTAAATGTGATAGTCAGTATGCTAACATGAAAACAAAGGCTCAATATGAAATATTAAATGGCTATATTTTACTCACAAAACAATGCAACATTGAGGATGTTGCCTACAATACTATTTATTGTTACAATGTTCCCAGTCAAAATGAGCCATCATGCGAAGCTGATAACGGGACTCTATCTCATTAAGTTTGGGGGGAGTTAATGTCCAAATTCTATTTCAAGTGGCTGTGTCTTGGACCCATCACTCCTAAAACCATTACTTTTGATCATTCTTCTTAGGTGTTGGCTAGCTCTGCGCTCAAACACGATTCACTTCCTTCTTCCTCACCGTCACGGCGTAGTCCTTCTGTTCTTCTCTAGGCTACATAAACCCGATTCTCTCAATGTTTCCTCAGGATGCTATTGATCGCGTCTTCCTGGTTTTCCATTCTTCAAGTGAGACCGAAAAATTGAACACTGGTCCGAATGCAAATTACTCTTTGGTTTGCTCTATCTTCTATTTGAAAGGCACTCTGGTGGCACTGTCAGATAAGCTCTGGATTGCAAACCACAAGGTTGGTGACTCAAATCTAGCAGCTGCTCCAGGGGAAAATTACAGGCTCAGAAACCCTACAGACAAGGTTGTTATGGGTTGGACTCAACTTGATGGCAGTGGATTTGGTTTGGGTTATCTTCGATTTTGGTTGGCACAATGTACATGGAACCAAGATTATGGATATTACACCTACCTACCAGTAGAAGGGTGAAAGATTTTAAAACACAAGTCAATTTTTAGTTTAAATGCTTCCTTCTTGGCTCCATCTCTTCAAACACACTGAATGTTGAAGTGTAAGAACACTTTAGATACAATTTGTACTTTGAAAATTAAATAGATAGGAGGATTTTATCCAAGAAGCATTAAATACTAAAGAAATAACCAGACTTGAGAACCCAGTTGTCATCACTTTCTTATTACTTTGACAGTACAAAAAATATCATGAGATTCTTATCCCTCTACCTCCTCAGTTAAGCAGGATAAATGGTTTCACATAATCTAGAGAATGCAAACAGGAGATCGCAATCAAGTTGTAGCTGATAGCCAGACTATACTGTTTCTATATTTCTACCTTCATTTACCCCCTTCCTTCCTGCTTTTATGCACATAGAAATTATAAAATACCAGAACAATTTCTAAAAATAACTATGTTTGTAAGACCCGAAATCTGAGCATTTAGTAAAGCAGTTAGCATTTTTGTTGTGATCAACAAAAGTTAAGGTCAGCTGCTATGTAGTAAATTATACACTTTGAGCCACTGAAAATTGAAAACAAAGAAATAGAGTCCATGAACATTTTTTGCATGTCTACGGAGAGTAGTTAAGAAAAAAGGGTCCTAAAGAATTCAAGAATGCCAGGACTGGAGGGAGTCCTCTGATTGCCTGTAGAGAACTGGAAATCATCTCAGGCCTCAGTTTTCTCATCTATACAGCAGAGAAAAAGAATTTCTGCCCCCACACACGGGTGTTAGGAGAAAGAAATGAATCCATCTAGTACATCCAAGTAAGCCATGCCTTTGGCTCCCTTACTTGCCCCTCTCCTCAAACTAGTACTTGACCAGGACAAAGGTCAGAGAAGACTTGTAGGAGCTGCAGAAATAATTTTTAACTGTTAGAATTGTAGGAGTTGCAGAAATAATTTTTAACTGTTTGGAAATGGCTGTGTTGGAAAACAAACAAACAAGCCCCTCCAAACAAAGTATTTCTCTACTTTGTGATTCTACAGGAAAGCATTCCAAAGACCTGCATGTTGGACATAATAGTAGGCTCCCTTTGTTCAGAAATAACCTTTGTTATTACTTTACATTTCCAATATAAAGTTACATCTAACAAATCAGGTCTTAAGTTTATTGCCAAGAAAGAAAAATAACTGCTAAAATTTTAATATTTGCTTGATGAAATATCTCCTTGAAAAATAAAATTAGAACCCCACATACTTTATACACTAGAACATGATTATCACATTGTTTTTATAATCCATGCCATTGGATTGATTGTATTATTGAGACTGAAAAACCATATGTGCAGTTAAAAAAAATCTCTTTGGATGAGGTCCAAGATGATATTATAATGAATCTGCAGCTAACAGAAGGTTACATAAAAATGAGGCTCCTCTGAACATTTCAAGATTCAGCATCCTGGAGAAGTTTTTTTACTTCTCAAATGGCTCCTTATCCCTGGGATAAAACACATTTCTTAAAGCTGTTAAAAGCTAGTATTTTGAGAAAATGTCGCTTGATTGTTTTAGGGGCTTCCACAACTTAAATGATAAACAGAGCTGCTAGGAACTCACAGGGCTACTAAACACCACCGTCAGCATGTCTTTGGGGAGCAGTTTGAGAAGAAAAAGAGCACAGAGACAGGGATGGTAGCCGACCATTTTGTTAAAAAGCATCCAAGAAAATCATCTCTATCCAACAGTCAGGTTGTAATTTTAATATTCAGATTGCTGTTTGCATCTCTTCATGCTACCAAAACATACTGCTTACAAATCCAAACATCTACTTACACAGATCAAAGAAATGCTGCCAGAAGGCGTCCATCCACTTCTGCAGATCTTCTTTACTATCTGCTGAAAAAATCTGAGTTATGCCCTGTCCAGCCCCAGGGTTGATGACAGAGAAAATATGGATTCTTTTCTTGGCATCCTTGTCCATTGCCCGAATTCTCGTTTCCTAAAAATTAGGACAAAATTGAGGTTTTACAAGAGAATATTTCTCTAATGATCAAACAAATGTTTTATTGCTTAGCAACCATATTTATACCAGAGGTAATTATAACATTATTGCTGATCATTTGAAATTTAAAATGTGTAATTTTGAGAATTTTTAATATTCAAACTGAAATCTAGACAGTTTTTAAAAAGCGTTTCTTATTAAAAAAGCTGAAGTAATGTTTCAACGCATGCTACATATTGCAGTTATGCAAATCACATGAGATTAAAATATAACCTCTGTTTTGATCTCAGTTCAAGTGGGAATTTGCTGTCTTTTATATACATCTTAAAATTTGTAATAAAACAAGTACAGCAATGTCAAAATTATAATGTGGATGAAATGTTCGCTATATTTCCAACAATAATAAAAAATCAGTAAAAGCATATTTCTTATTTTAATATTCATGTACGAAATACAGTATTATCAGTTCAGGCAGTAAAACCATAACTTAGTGTTTACTGCAACAGAACAGTTAGGCTTCTTCATTAACATTTATTTTATATGTAACACTCATTTACGAAGCTCATAACTAAAGATCCATAAAGCAATATCAACTCTCGCAATGATAAAATTCATGATTCTTTAAAATGATGCAACCAAGACAAAGATTTCATTCCCGTTGACTCAGCCTTTTTTACTGACAGGCACAATGCATGGCATTGTGATCACACTTAAAGGTGTCCACATGTAGGAGACAGATGTCTATTTCCATGTTACATACAAAGGAAGCTACACCCCATGTAGTTTAGGCTAAGGAACACTGGGAGAGTGGGGAGTTTGGAATGTAAATAGATGCCATGCACAAATAGATTAGGTTGCCTGACTTATTTTACATTTTAGAGCAGTACTCTCCAATGGAATATAATGCAAGGTTCCTACTCAACAGAACATTTTCTAGTTAGTGGTAGTTTAAAAAGTAAAAAGAAATAGATGAATTTTTAAGATTATATTTAATTCAGCATATCCAAAATAGTATTTCTTTAAAACTAATATTTGATTGTGTTTTGGGTGAAGGTTTGACACAACATTTCGGTATGCTGCACAAAGTTGCAATAGAAGTGCGATCCCTTGGAGTGTCACACAACTTAAGGATGGGAGCAATCTTAAGAGATAATTAGCCTATCCTGTCATTCTAGACGTGTGAGAGTCGTCGGTGGATAATGGGGCTTATGGCCAGCATTTTAATTTTACCATAATAGGGTCTTTTTACATTCCTACGAGTTGGTAATAAACCTTGTGAATTAACTCTTGTAAGTAATTATTTATACAATATAAAAATGCTGCCCTAAATGGTATCCTTGGAGGCTGAAACATGTAATCACCTCTTTAAATATACAGCTTATTATCACTAGCAGAAAATGACTTAAGCTCCAAAAAAATCATTGATATGTTGTCTTATCTAATTAAAGGCTGTATCATAGAGGGAGTAGGGCTGGGGATGGGGAGGCCACCCTTTATTGCTGTATTAAAAAAAATCTTATTGCTTAAATTGTATTTCCCTCCCCCAACCATTTTAATACACATTTCTAATGACTTTTCTATATAGGATTAAAATGAATTTGACATTTATGAAAATGTGACTTTTACACATGGAAATGTGTATTTAGCATAATGCTAGGGTATCATTTCAAATGAAAATGGCTACACAGAAAATCTGATGAAGTGAATCATTCATATCCTTCAAAGAAAACACAATGCAACAATATACCGTATCTACTCCAGTATAAGCCGACCCACATATCAGTGGAGGCACCTAATTTTACTACAAAAACTGCATTAAAAATGTGCTGAAAAACTGGGCTTATACACGAGTATATATGGTACTCATAAACACTACGTGCTCCATTAACTCTGATAACCATATCCAATTAAAATTTTAAAATGTGAAAGGTTATGAAAAAAGTACAAGTGAAATATAAAACATTTAAATTTTATATTTTATCTCATATAATTTAATGGGAAGCTTTTAATTAAAAGGTTATATGACAAAGAAGAGATATCAATAAAACATAACAAATGGTAAATTCAAAGCAAAGTTTCTTTTAGGTTATTAATTATGCTTTTTTAGGTTATTAATTATTCTAAGTTAAAACTCTATATCACCTCTCCATTTCCGTGGATAACGGAAACTTACTAGACCAGAAGTAGATTTATGAATTTAAAAAATTATATATTTTATATGATTTATAAACAATAAAAATCCACTACGGAATGAACCCTCCTAATCCTTAGGTCAGGATCCTCTGTGCGGTTCAGCTGGTTTATGTGCTTGGATGCAAACTGAGAGGTCGAGGGTCGGAGGCACCAGAGCTGCCTCAGAAGGCCTGGTGCCCACCCCTGAAAGCCCTGTGGCGCACAGTTCTATTCTGACCACACAGGTCACCGTGAGTCAGGATCAACGAATTCCATGGCAAATGATACTACTTTTAGCCTTAGCACCCAGACTAGGAGTATTATTTCTTTCTAAAGAAATTCTAGATCCTTGGAAAAGTGCCCAATTCCCATCCTGCGTTAGTCAATGTGTAAGATGATCCTAGGACATCTTGTCTTGCCCCAAATCAATGATTCGGAGGGTATGTCAAAGGGATTCAGGAGTCAGTTTGAGCCTTCATGAACCTGCATCTTTGCCAAGAACTGAGAAGAACTTTGTGGTGAGAATGAACATTTCTGAAAGTTTCATTCAAAGATCCCATAGAAGAATTTGATCAAACAGGGAAAATATAGAACAGAATTTCTAATCCTCATGGAGTCTAGACTTTCTGGAGCCATGGAAGGCGGATGAATTATTGCCTGAGATAATCTTTCATACATTTTACACCAAAATATTCACTGAAGTCTTCCTAAAATTGAGCAATAGCTTTGCTGAATTAGGGAAAATAGTCTGCCTTCAGCAATACGCTCTTTTAAGAACTGTCTGTCTAGGATCAAATTAACAACAGCAATTCAAGGGATTCTAAAAGAACTTTGCGGGCAGAGAATGTAAGTTAATGAGGGAGGTAGAAATCAGAGGGAGGAGGAAGAGAATGGCTGTTGTCAGGTGCTCTAACTCACAGTGACCGTGTGCACCTCCCTCACAGCTGTTCTGTCTGAGCTCAGCGTTACAGCCACTGCGTCGGTCCAAACTGCTGAGGGCCTTCCTGTTTGGCTTCCCCTCCCTCTAGTTTCCCCAGCACGATGTCCTTCTCCGGGGACTGGTCTCTCCTGACAACATGTCCAAAGTAGATGCCACAAAATCTCGCCATGTGTAACTAATGCCACTGAGTTGTACCTATAAAAACTAAAGTATTTTTGTTGTACATGTTCTCAAAAATAAGATATAAAGAAATCATTTTGAGAAGCTTCCACTAGTAAAGGTGAAGCCACCTGAGGATCAGTAAGGGCAACAATAGAAATATGTTTGTACACAAAATGCATTTGAATTCATAAATTCATAATGTTATTTGAAAACCAACTCATTGGTCACTTGTAAAGGATTCTGGGGAAGCACCTGATTGCTAGAAAAGCTGTAAGTAAATACCAAAGATTCAAGCATTTATCCCTGTCTTCCCCATAAGGCAGGACAATAGTACCTCAGCATAACCAAATAGCTGGTGAAGCAGAAGCAAACCTGCTAATTAATTAATGAATCATGTTAAAATAGCATCATTCTGAAGTTCCTCATGAAAGAAAGGCTCTAACCTATGTTAACATCAACAGAAGACCCAGATTTATCACCAGTCTCCCAATAAAAGTGCACAATACTTCCAACGAAGTGTTCTGACCAACCAACCTGAAGCTGATTTAAAAAATATAATAAAACAACAATCTTCAGCAGAATCTATACTCTAGAGCACCTGTAAGATAAATGGCCCAGTTTCTTCACCAATAAATGGGAGGGAGTAGAGGGAGGGTGAGGGGCAGGGAGAGAAGGGACACACCTTACTTGGATCCTGATTGGAAAACAAACAAAGCCTTGCTTAAAAAATTATGAGATTGGGGGAAAAAAACGATATGGTCTCTGGAATTTCCTTCCAAATAATTCTCGGGTAGGCATGTGGGTGTACACAGCCAGGTTCATTTATATTCTTCTAGTAATTTCTTGAAATTTTCTATGGAACAATTTAAAAATAAAATACAAGTATAAAAAAAGGTGTAAGTCCACAAGTGCCTGCTTTCTGATCTATAATGCAGAGATATGTTTATTTCATACTCAGTCACAAACATGTCATAAGAATAACTGAGATAGCACCTGTGAAAACATGTCAAGTTGTTTGAAAGCTAAAACAACTCCGTTAAAGTCCTGCTTAATCAGAGGTGAAGACAATTAAAATGATGGCTAAAAAGCAAGCTTCAGATCTTATTTACTTTAATAACAAAGAAAGATTGCTTTCATAATTATTTAACACGAATGTTTGAAATATATAAAACACGAACATAAATTAAACCAGCATTAGGTATGATTACTATCAGTTTGATAGAATTATTTTTATTTTCTGTCAATAAAATCAGGGGCATGCGAGAAAGGGTGTTTAATGAAGTTTATTTTTGCTGTCTTTAATGGGATACCATCTGAATAGTTGCTATGTTTCAGAAAGTAAGTAGACAAAAATAACCAGGAGAAAACCCAGGGTGCTCTATAGTCATCTTGTTTTCCAGGTCCATGATAAGCATAATTGCTAAAAGTAATTTTGAGGCAATTTCATACAAGGCCATAATATAAGGTAGTGTTTATTGACTGCCTTAGGATAAATTTCATTATTAATTAAAATGCAGTGATGTATAGTTATCTAAGTCAAGAAAAGGCTATTGATTTCAAAGGCCCACACTTCTCTTTCTCACCCTCAGCCCCCACTGACTAAAGCTTTGGCTAATAAAATGCTTTCTACAATGTATAGGCAATTCAGTGGCTCCAGTTAAGTACCCATTATTGAGAATGTCTTGCTCAACAACATTCATAGTGAAGGTTTTTTGAAGTTGAA